GACCTAAAATTGAAGTCTATTGAAGCAACCCAGAGCTGTTTTGTCCCCAGGGGGGGCCCTGGCCCACGCCTTCTTCCCCCGACGTGGAGAAGCCCACTTCGACAGCGCCGAGCGCTGGTCCCTGCACAGTGGCAAAGGCCGCAACCTCTTTGTGGTCGTTGCACACGAGGTGGGGCACACACTGGGGCTGGAGCACTCGCCCATCAAGAGTGCCCTCATGTCACCCTACTACAAGAAGCTCGGCAAGGACTTTGTTCTCAACTGGGATGACATCTTGGCCATCCAGAACTTGTATGGTGAGCATCTGTTGGGTGCTACTTGAGATGGTCTTTGGGGTGGAGGGCGAGAAACAGAGGTGGGAGTATGTCCGTGCTACTGTTACTGAGGGCAATAGGAACCAGACTGGGGTGCACCAATTGTTTGATGCCCTCTGATGGCTTGCCAGCCTTGTGCTCCTGCTTCAGTGCCCTATTCCATGATTCTCACCTTGCTCTGTCTCAGGGAAGCCCTCCAGGGGCTTGGCCATCCAGCTGCCAGGAAGGGTCTTCACTCACTTCCAGGACTGGAGTGGGGACCTGTATGGTGAGGAACATCAACGGCGGAGCCTCAGCACCTACTACTGCAGCTCCTTCTTCGATGCCATAACTGCTGGTGTGTGGCCACAAGCCCTCTCCCCAAATATTCCCAACCTGTCCAGCAGCCTCTCCTCACTCAATAAGATTCCCAGAATGATGGAAAGAGTGGCTGGGCTGGGCTGGGCTGGGCTGGGCTGGGCTGGGATGTCCTCAGCCCCATATGGACGTCTCACAGGAGTTGGAGGGATAAGAGGTGATGATCAGTGGGACAATGCTGGGTTTGTGATGTGGCACCAAGCTTCTCACCCTCATTATCTGTTCTGCCCTGCAGACACAGAACACAACCTGTATATCTTCAAGGGCAGCCACTTCTGGGTGGTGTCAGCCAGTGGCAACACCAGCCAGCCTCAACCCTTGCACATGCGCTGGCCAGGGCTGCCTGCCGGTATCGATGCCTGTGCCTACTCCCCATTCAGCCACAGCTTCTACTTCTTCAAAGGTCAGTGAGATGCAGGTTGTATTGATTGGTCTGTCACCCTGATGCTGTGCCAAGGGGCTGGGACATCGCTGAGTCCCATGAATCATAGAATCAAAACCGTTAAGGTTGGAAAGACCAATAAGATCATCCAGTCCAACCATCAACCCATGGCTGTGACCACTCTAGATCATGTCCCTTCGTGTGACATCTACCCATGGGTGCAGGCTCCAGGATGCTGTGGTCACAAATTAGCTTTGCATCAACCCCCATTGCCCCATGCCTCAGTTTCCCTTTTAGCCCAGTCCAGAGAGCAGCATTCCCTGGATTTGAAAACTAAAGCAGACGCATTTTTGGGAGAAAATATTCTTCAAAAATGTGTAACTGCAAGAAGATGATCTGAGCACTGCGTTCTCATGGTTTGTGCCCTATCCCTGGTGCCTTGCTGCCATCTGTAAGCTGCCTGTGGCACAGCTGTCAGGGCAGAGAAAGGTCAGGCCAGGCAGCCAGGACACTGAGGTCAGCCTGAACTTGTGATGGAAACCACTCACAAGCCTGCCAGAAAGGGGCTTTGTTGTTGCAGCTGGGGGAGAGCCAGAAGCCCCTCTGCAGGGCCAGACCCAGGAGCAGAAAGGAGCTTTTGTCTATCTGCATGTGCCTGCAGGGATGGCCCCAGCTGCAGCGGGGATATCTGGGGCTGCTGTGAATTTCTGTGGTAGTCTGGGTTGTCCCAGCACAGGAGGGATGTGAGCGATATCTGTCCTGCTGTACAAAACCTTTCGTCCCCATCCCTTCTTGCAGAAGCATGGCATAGGCACCAAGAGAGCCCAGTTTGCCTCTATGCTCTGGAGCTGCTTCTTCCCTTCCCAACCTGTGGGAAAGCCCAATAGGGACGTGCCCAGGGCCAGGTCATCTCTGGGGTGGCTGGAATCCATAGGCTATGTGGACCAAGCAATAATACAGGAGATAATGGCCTCAAATTGCACCAAGGAAGGTTTAGGGTCAGCATCAGGAAAAATTTATTCACAGAGAGGGTTGTACAGCACTGGAACAGACAGTCCAGGAATGTGTTTGAGTCCCCATTCCTGGAGGTAATTAAGGAATCTGTAGATGTGGTGCCTGGGGGTGTGGTTTAGTGGTAGACTTGTCCATGCCAGGTTAGCAGTTGGCCTTGATGACCTTAGGGGTCCTTTCCAACCTCAGTGCATCTATGATCCGGGCTTATGTGGTCACTGAGCCTCTCTCTTCTCCATCCCAGGCGGTCGATGCTGGAAATACCGTGGCTCCACCTTGGTGTCTGGCTTCCCCCAGAAGTGCAGTGCCCACGGCCTGCCCCGCCACCCCGACACAGCCCTCTACTTCCAACAGCTCCGGCGCCTGGTGCTCTTCAAAGGAGCCAAATACTTCGTGCTGAGCGAGGAGACCCTCGCCCTGGAGCCCTACTACCCCCGCAGCCTGCGAGACTGGGACGGCGTACCCCCTGGCACAGCAGGGGCCGTGGTGCACCGCGATGGCTTCCTCTACTTCTTTCGGGATGACCGCTACTGGCGGTTCAACCAAGCCAAGCTGCAGGTGGTGGCCAATGGCAAGTGGGCGGCCGAGCTGCCGTGGATGGGCTGCTGGGATGCCAATGGTGGGCACATCCTCTTCTGAGCCAACACTAAGCATCGCTGGGACAACATGTTGGCTGAGCCCATCCCACTGACTGACCCAAGGGGTCCGCTGGTCCCCAGGCCCAACACCATGGATAACAGCAATGAGGCTGGGATGGAGGGTCCCACAGATGGGCTGTGATTCAGCCATAAGAACACTGATAAGCCACGGAGACTGCAAATGTAACATTTCTGATAACTTTAAGGATTTTTTTTCAAGCCAGGACTGTTTTTTGTTAATCCTTTCTAGTTTTTTTTCATGATCAGGCAGAGAACTGCCTTACTGATGGGTGCTCTGGTGCTTCAGTAGTTTTAAATGAGCGACTGAGACTGTTTTTGGTTGAAACAAGAAGAGATTTTTGGACATAACCATGGGTTTATGTCTCTATAAACATGGGTTTACAGTCTTTCAGGTGGCACCTGGGGCCTTGCTGCCCCATACCTGGGGCTGATGGAACGCAGACCCCAGGACAAGCCCAGCTCTGAGCGCACTCTGAACAAAATGGTGTGGTTTTGAGGAGGAAGTAGAGATCTTTGGTGAAGGAACAGGGGAAAGGAGGAGCTGTGAAGCAGTACAGAAGGGCTGGAGGGCAGCAGGGGACAGGCAAGGTGGATTCTCTGCTGTATTATAAGGGTTATGCTCCCTCCATGAGCAGGGCAAGTGTTCCCTTCTCTGTCTCTGCAATAGTATTGAGTTCTGTACACCCTTTAGTCCTGTTCTGATTTGAGATCTTGGAGCCTTTGGGTTTATTTTCTGTGATATTTGTGAATGAACCCTTCCTGCGCAGGCATGGGGCACGCACGCAGCTCAAAATCTCAGGGGATTTTTTGGTGTTGCCAAAGAGACGAGGCTGCAGTGTTTCATTCTGAATAAGATGGTAATAATGCAACATCACTTGCAGCTTTCCAGGAGCCTGGAGACCTGAAGGTGAATAAAGTGAACATCCAGATTCACAGTGCTGGCATTCCCCTCTGTTTTCATGTCAGGCTATTGTATTTTTTAAAAATATCCTAGCCCATGATTTTCAAAAGGTCTGTACTGAAAATGGGGATGGAGTGGGCATTGCTTGGTTTGTCCATGCAGGAGGGTTGAGGCTGATTTCTGAATCAGTCTCCCCCAGAAGAAAGCAAGTGATGTGGGCTCCCCTTGTTTGCTTTCCTTCATGCCACGACATGCTGAGGCATCCCACACACGCTGCCCAGTGGCCGGGTGCCGTTTTGTCTGTGGGGATGGTGGTGGTGTTGCAATGTTTGCAGAGCTGTATGTCACTCTGGCTGCAGCTCCTGCACCCCATAAGGTGCGGGGTGAGGGGTTGGACATGCACCTCAATCTGTGTCACCGTCCCCTTAGCGTCACAAGGCTCCTTTTCTCCTCCTGGGCTGCTTGTAGGACATGCCAGGCGCCTGTCACGCATTCCACAGCCCAGGGAAATAGCTGGGATTCTTGCATTTCCTCCCCCAAAATGGCACCAGGCTCAACCAGAGGAACATCAGCAGGGAGAAGACACTGCCTCCAGCAGCAAGGACCCCCCAGGCTCCCCGGGGCCTCTTCCAACCCCATGCTGCAAGCACACTGCTGGCAGATTTCCTTTTGCAAACCCTCCTTTTGTTGAAGCCCATGAGGGGCAGCAGATTCCCGTGGTGCCCACTCACTGCCATACCCGTTGTTGTTTCCCTACAGCTCCAACTCTTGGAGCTGTGCCACTCGTGGAGGAGCTTGGCTTCTTTCTCCCAGAGCACGAAACCCCAAAGGAACACATGCGAATTTACCCCTCCTCATGATTATTTTATTTTCCTTTTACAGAACGAGGCTTGGGGTGATTTCCTGGTGGGCCTTTGTGTCACCACCTGCAGCACAGGTGGGTGTGAGGGTGGTGAGAAGGGGGGCAACTCCCCTCTGCTTTTGGGGTTCTGAGTGAGTCGGGGTGCTGAGGGGCTGCCCTCTATCCCTGGGGACCGTGGGGGGACAAACCCACCCGATGGGGCACAGAGGAGGAGCAGTGCTCCTGGAGGAGGAGTGGGTGCTGAAGGGTTAACAGGGAGTGTTTGCAGCCGGTCCCTTATCACCAAGGAGAAGAGAACAGCTCTTGGGAAGGAAACAAAACACCCACTGCCCAGGAGGGCAATTTCTGCTTCCCCACAGCCCTGGACCCCGGCAGCGCTCCGGCACCCCGCTGTCACCCTCCTAGTGGCACAGAGCATGCGGTGAGTGGGGTGGGGAGGTGGGCTGGGGCTTCTCCTCACATCCCCACCACCCGTTTCCCCTTGCCTCCTCCCAGTTTGGGGTCTTATGGCACAATGGGGACGCCTGGAGCTGCAGTGCGGAGCATCCGTCCCTATGGGTCCAGCCAGCAGTACCTGTATGCCATGAAGGAAGACTTGGCCGAGTGGCTGAAGGAGCTCTATGGGCTGGATATTGAGGTGGGCACCTTCCTGGAGGTGCTGGAGACGGGGGCTGTGCTCTGCTCCCATGCCAACCACATCACCCATGTGGCTGAGGACTTTGCTCACACCTGTCCCAGTGCAGCCCAGCACCTCCACCTGCCCACTGTCGGTGTCAGCTGCAACCCAGCAGCACAACCAGGCACCTTCCAGGCCAGGGACAACATCTCCAACTTCATCCACTGGTGCAGGAAGGAGATGGATATCAACGGTAAGACCCAATGCTCCAGCAGCACCGTGCTGCGATGTGCATCCTGGCATCACTGTCGGTGATTTCCTCTGTCCCCAAAGCTGATGCCATCCCAGCACTGGGATCTCTGCACCAAGCTGGGCTTGAACAAGCTTCCCTGGGCTCAACAGTTAGGGTTGGGACTGAAAAGAGCACGTGCCATGCTTGGCCATTATGGCCATAAGGACACCAGGAGTCCTCCTGGCTCTGAGCAGAGGGTCTGTCCCCTTGTCCCCACTGACAGCAGCGCCACAGGCATGGAAAAAAATGCCCTCAGTTCACTCAGCCAGTGGGGTGGGGCTCTGGGACACCATGAAACATCACAGTAAGCATGGACACATCTTTGTATGTAGATGCTCAAGGGGGAGGTTTTTCCTCTATGAATTTAACCCAACAGTTTTTTGGGCCCTGCCATATTCCTACACTCAATGGGCTGGCATAGCAAGGTGGGCGCAGATGGTACTCTGGGAAATAACATCCCTTTAGGAAGACCTTTGTAGAATCACAAAGTCTTTAAGGTTGAAAAATACCTTTAAGATCACCCAGTCCAGCTGCCTGCCTACCACCAATATGGCCCACGAAACACGTCCCTCAGTGTCACATCTACGTGTTTCAACTCCTCTCCATCTGTGCTCTCGTCCTCTTTGCACCCCTGCCCTGCCCCAGACGTCCTGATGTTCGAGACGGAGGACCTGGTGCTGAGGAAGAACGAGAAGAACTTTGTGCTGTGCCTGCTAGAGCTGGCACGCCGTGCTGCCCGTTTTGGCATGTGTGCCCCCACTCTGGTGCAGATGGAAGAGGAGATCGAGGAGGAACTCCGCCAGGAGATGGACCTGCCTCCTGCAGACAACCCCCTGCCCCGTCCCCCCAGAAAACCCCGGGACCTCCACAACCTTGACCAGATGGTATGGGGGGGGTGGGAATGGGGTTGGAGGTGATGGAGAGGTGGTGATGGGATTGATGGAGACAGTGGGGGTAGGGGTTAGGGTGATAGGAATGGGGATGATCAAGATGTGTATCTTGGGGAGATGGGGACACTGGGGATGATGAGGATAGGGATGTTGTGATGGGAGTACAGTGATGAAGATGGTGATGGGAATTTGGGGATGGGAACGATGGTGATGATGGGGATAGGAACAATGGGGATAGACACCTGTATAATGAATGAATATACAGATGTTGTAATTATGAAATAAATAAGAGAGTTTGGCTAGGCAGGTTATTATACCAACAAGAGAATAGATGGAGTGCTTACCCTTGTCCTGGGCTCACTGCAAAACTCCAAAGGAGGGATCTCCAGAAGAGACCCTTCCCCACTGGTAGCCAGCTCTTAAATGGCTCTAGGAGAGGTGGAGCCAGGCTTCACCCCTTCTACCAGCACAGTTGAATTGCCTTCACCTGTGCTCCCAGGGCTGACTCGTTGCTCGCCTCAGGTGATCAATCAGAGGTTCAGGCTGTGATTCAGCAGTTCCCACACACCACCCCAGGCCCCTTCCCACGAGCCTTGGTGCAAACCCATCCCTACTGCCCGCAGGTCCAGCACCTGGTGAGCCGCTGTACCTGTCCTGTCCAGTTCCCCATGATCAAAATATCAGAAGGGAAATACCGTGTGGGTGACTCCGACACCCTCATCTTCGTTCGGGTGAGTCTGCTGCATCTCATGCATGCAGGGCGCAGGCACCAGGAGTCCTACTTTGCTCCTATCAAGCCTCCTCCCTATATTCATCTGCCAAATGGGGCCAACGTGTCATTTTTGAGCATTACCTGATGGGAGTATGGGATCAGTGGAAGGGAGGTTCCCTAAGGCCATCCTGACTCTCCCTGGGGTGACAAAACAAGCAGTGGGATCTGAGACCCCCGTGCCTCAGTGGCGTGGGGTGAAGCAGGGCTGATGTTGCGTGTCTTTGAGTGCAGATCCTGAGGCAGCACGTCATGGTGCGGGTCGGGGGCGGCTGGGACACCCTGGAGCACTACTTGGACAAGCACGACCCGTGCCGCTGCACCTCGCTCTGTGAGTGCCTGCACCCCCGGCCTTGGCTGTGATGGTGGAAGGGGAGAAGGGTGCATTGTGCCTGCTTTTGGGGGCTTTTGTCGATCCTTTCGGGGCATTTGTTGGTTCTTTCTGGGGTTTTGTCGGTGCTCTTGGGGGTGTTGGTGCTTTTGGGGTGTTTGTAGCTGCTTTTGGGGTGTTTGCAGGGGCAGCAGATGTAATCCTGATGCTTCACTGAGAAATCTCTGCTTTGGGTGCATGGCTCTTGTTGGGTGGCTCTAGCGGCCGCTAGAGGTCATGGCAGACTTTTGGGAGGATAGGGTCCATTGCAAGGCCGAAACCCCGTTTGCATGGAACTCAGCTCTGCAGGAGCGTCCCGTGCTAACAGCACAGGGAGGAAGGCTCTGGGCTCCGTGGGGCTGCGGTCTGCAATGGGGAGGGACCCCACTGAGCTCAGTCCTTCCCCGCAGCCCACAAACAGCTCTCCAGGACCAGATCCTCCCAGCAGCCGGTGCAGCACGAGGTGCAGCTCTGCGCAGCTCCTCCGGCCCCTGGCCGCACTCACCCCACTCTGCTGGTCAGTCGCTCACAGAGCCCGCTGCCCCCCGTCACCTGGGCACCCCACGGCCACCGCCACCACCCCCGGACCCCCACCACCCCCAGCCCCCGCCAGGAACCAGCACAGCCCCGGAGGGTTCCTTCGTGCAGGTGAGGCACTGAGTGGCTTCGTACCCTAAATTGCCTCTTTTTGTAGTGCTTTTTTCTCCCATCTCTGTACCTGGTGTGGGGCTGGATGTGAGGTCTCTCTCCTTTCTGGGCTCTCTCTGATTGCAGGACACCGACACTGAGGTCACCTGCTCGAACCACCTCCCTCGGGCATGGGGCTGCCCAGCGGGCACCCACCCCATCCCAGGACACTGTGGGGACCCCCAAGAAGCCACATGGGAACCCCCCAAAGTCAGCAGCACAGAGTAGGGGCACAGCCTCCAGTGGGCACCACTTGGCACCACCACGTCCCAGGAGCACTCAGCAAGGAGGTGGCTCATCTGGGGCAGCTTCCAGGCATGTGGGGGTCCCCACCACTGTGACGCCCCGAACCCACAGCCCCATCAAAACCTGTGCCCCCAGTCTGCAGCAGAGTGCCCACAGAGCAGTGCAGAGCAGGAAAAGCTCCAAGGAAGGGAACTGGAGAGCCCTTGGACGTAGCCATCCATCTTCACACCCAAATTCCCAGAGTCAACCTCCAAAGCAGGACAGCAACATTAAAACTCAGACGAAAACCAGCTCAGCCATCTGCCGGCCCCCCACCCCTCTGACCCATTTTGCAAATGGATGTGAGAGCTGTGCTGCTGGGGAGAGTCCCCAGTGTCCCCCCCCGAGCCCAATACCCAGGGACACTGAGAGCCCCACAGTGCCAGGGAAGGTCTGCAGCCACAACACGGATGTTTCAGGGCTGCGGGGGTACTGGGGGCACTCTCAGCCCCCTGACTATGGGAAGGTGCTGGAGGAGCTCACCCGCAACCGGCAGCCCCTGCGTCCTGTGGGAATGGGCAACAGAGTGTCCTCAAAGCCCTCAACCTCACAGTGTGCCAATATCCCAGCCGGGGGGTCCATGGAAGGGCCAGTCGTGGGGGACCAGACCCCGCGGAGCACTGTGCCCAAAGCCCGGCGGTGCCTGAAGAAACCCGAGCGTGTGCCCTCCATCTACAAGCTGAAGCTGCGGCCCAAGGTGCGTCCCCGGCGGGATCACCGGCCTGGCAAGGGTCCTTCACGCATCCCCACCCCACTGGGGCAGCACCGTACCCGGGGCCAGCATCGCCCCACAGCCCCCCCAAAGCCACCACAGCCCAGGGATGCCAAGCCCTCATTGAGTGACAGCGGTGCGTGGCTCACTGAGGATGATGAGGAGGCGTGGGTCTGAGCCATGTCGATCGGTCTGGGTCAGGGATGGACCTACGCGTTGTCAGAGTTGCCATGCCAAGGTTGCGATGCTGATCCCCTTATCTGGCATTCAACCAAGCCAACTACCCCGCTCTTCAGTCTTCCCCATCTGCATAATGGAACCAACGTTGCTCATGCCTCACCCAAATCCCCACCCAACCCCATGAGCTGCTCAGGGGCAGGGGGACACATGGGCACCGTGTCTGTGCCATTGTCAAACCTCTGTGTTGGCATTTCCATGGCTGGGGGCTGTTCCAGCAAGGATGGAGCTCATAGAGTTGATCGCTGCCTCACCAAGGCAATGGCCACTGGTGCTCGTACAGTTGAGCTCTCCCAAACCTTTGCACCAGTGGCTCTTCTGGGTGGGTGATGGAAGAAGACCCAGAGGGTTTGGGGGCTGTTGTGGAGCTGCAGAGTCCGGCACTGTGAGCAAGGAGCAGCGAGGCGAGTACAGAACAAAGGGGACAGACCTGATTTTAATTAGGTTCCAAATAAAGGGGCGCAGGGTGGTGTGGACACCTGGGGATCTCCAATAAGAAGTCCATGGGGAAGAGAATGCCATGTCCAGGCACCACGATGCTCACCGAAGTGGGAGGAGAGGAGGAGAGGAGGAGCATTCTCATCAGCGCTGCACCCAGCCCCATGTCACCACTTGGTCACCAAGTACTGGGGCAGAAAATGGCATCTTCCTTCCTGCTTCCCTTGGGGACGGCTGGGGACATCCCCAGCCCCCAGGATGGGAGCGGGTTGCTTCTGCAGTAGGCATAGATCCAGGTAGGAAACCCACGGCGACGGCTGGCGAGTGGTAACACTTCATACTAAGGGTTTGTTTATGGGGAGGACAATGGAGCTCCATTACTGCTGTGGATGGGGATGTCCTGGCCCCTGTTGGCTGCCAGCCCCCTGCCCATGTTTTTGGGGAGCGGGGTAATGCTGCCAAAGCGGTGAGAGTCATTATTACTGATACAGCTTTTCTGTCTATAAAATACAATATAATATAACAATTATATTTATAACTTTTTTTTTTTTTTTTTTTCTCTTCAAAATACTAAATAGATGCTATAAAAACCTGTAACTAATTGTGCTATAAACTGCAGGCTACAGGGTTGTAACAAACAATGTATTGGCTTGGTCACTGATATGTGTGTGTTGGAGCACTGTATAAATGCTTTATTAGTGGCATTTACCAAGGAGTTTCCTTCTCAAACCATTTGGAGGGGTAAAGCCAGTGAAAGGCCGAAATATAGGTCGTGTGCACTGACAAACCCCAAGGAGATGCACAGAGGGTTTGCTGTGGGGGCGATGGGAGCTGCTGCCTTCCTCGGCCACACTCATCCTCTCCCCCAGCTCTTGGCCACAGGCTCCCTCCTGCCAACTTTCCTGATTTTGGTTTATTTGTATTTTGTTTTGGGAGGCAAGGGGATGGGTTTTGGTTCCCAAGGTGGCTGTTAGGAGTGGGAACCAGTGGTGGGGACATGGGGACCAATGGCAGGGATAGAGCGGGGGCCGATGGCAGAGATGCGGGGCTGCACTGAATGCCAAGGATTGGAGCTCAGTGAGGAGGACTCTTAATAGAAAGTGTTACCAGGATAGCAGTGAAGCTCCTGGGAAGTAAAAGCTGTCAGTGGGAGGAGATAGTGGGTTTTGGTTGGTTCCTGCTTTAGTGTCCCCAATCCAGAGAGGGACAACCCACAGATCCCTGTGCCATTTATGCCCCAGCAACCACTGTGCCAGGCTCCAGGACAGATGCAGATGACCCGACAGTGGGAGCAAGCCGAAAGATTAACTCTAAATAAATAAAGTAAGAAAGAAAGAAAGAAAAGAAAAAAGAGGCTCACTTTCCCATTAGGAGTGTGCATAGAATGAAGGAAAAGAAGGATGGAAATGCACGTCCAGCTCCCTATTGCTTCAGAGACTGCCTTTGCATGGGAACCATCTCCATTTGGATGGATGGGTGAGTGGATGGGTGGATGGATGGATGGATGGATGGATGGATGGATGGATGGATGGATGCCACCTTCCCCTATGGGAGGCCCTGCTGGGGCCAAATCCAGCCTGGATCTGTATTTGAGATGCTGAGCTGTGCCCAGCATTCACGGCAGCAGCTTTGCCCCTGAAACCAAGGGTATGTCCAGCACAGCCTCTGTGGGGCTGGGACATATGGGGAGAGGATGAGCTTGGAGGAAAGGAAGCTGGTAGGAGTGGAAAGAGCACTTTTGGGGAAGGAGAATCAAACTGGACTGCCCAGGATGGGCACAGAGCAGCAGGAGCCCATGGAGGCGATGCAGTGAGAAACCCTAATGTGGGGACATGAGGTTTGTGGGACAGCGTGGCTGCCCGCCAGCAGCTCTGTTGTGCAGAGAAGCAGAGCCCGTTGGGACTCAATGGACAGCTGTGGCATCCCCAGCCCGGTCCAACCCAACAGCGGTCACTGCTTCCCCAGAAGTCATCACAGGGAAGAGACGACTGAGGTGTCCCCAGTGCAGCGTCACCCCAGTGGAAACGGGTGTCCTGTGGGGGCACAGTGGCGCGGGGGGCTCACATGATGGTGCATCGGTTCCTGCGCAGGGCCCCCTGGAAGCGAATGGTGGTGTGGACGTGCTTGCAGCGGGCACAGCCCACGCTCTTCAGGAGCTCACTGAAGAGCAGCAGGATGTGCCAGTTGTACTTGGCCGAGCACTCGATGTAGCCGCACTTCCACGTCTTCTTCACCAGGTTGGAGACGTTCCAGCGCGGGATCACCCGGCCCCGTTGCAGGTCCCGCTTGTTGCCCACGATGATGATGGGAGTCTCCGAGGTGCCGATGACCCTGGGTTGGGTGGGAGGGCAGCACCACGCAGCCACGGGCTGCTCCCATCCATCCCATCCGTCCCAAAGTGGCACCAATAAAGCAACGTGCCACCGTCACCCTGTCCATCGTCACGGGCTGCCTCTCACCACGTCCCCTTGTCCCTCTTCTTGGCCACCACTCAAGTGCTTTTCCACTCTATCCCCACACTACCCCGAGCTGCTTTCACAGCCCTATCCATGTTTGAGTCTGTCTTGCTGTCGTATCACAGCTCTCCAGCGTCCCATCCCTACAGCCCCACCAGCAGCATGCAACCCGCCGGCAAATGGCCCCTACCTTGTTTCCAGGATCTGCTGGCGGATGGTTTTGATGTACTCGAAGCTGTCAAAGCAACAGATGTCATAGACCAGGATGTAGGCATGGACGCTCCGGAGCCCCCTGCAACACACGTCTGCCCACTCCTGCAAGGTGCAGAGAGGGATCAATCCTGGCGTGCCCCACAGGATGCCGCATCACTTTGGGACCAGACATGTTTGCAGGAGGAAAGAAGTTTATAGGATCCACCACTGGGCATTCTACATGTATGTGGGACTCCTGACCAAGAGCGTTGTGTTGTGCATGTCACATTTTCCATCCCCAAATCCCCACCCCCTATCTCACCTCTGCCCTGCCATGTCCCTGTGATTCCTTTTCATTAACCCAGGAGAAGGATAATGGGATTTGCCAGCCCGCAGGGTCAATTGAGTACGTGAGCATCATCTGCCAGGTCGGTCAATGACCCTCTATTCTGGTCCATCTCCCACTGACCTTCCATTTCCTGCACATTACGTGTAATTTTTAAACCTCCCCGAGCCCCTCACCTCCCGCCCCACAGCTTTGGAGCAGCAGTGAAAGGACTTGTGACCTATGGTGATGTAATTATACCAATTAAAAATCCAACAGCCTGGCCCCGGCAGAGGTACAGCTTTCAAATCCCTTTTTTCTCATATTAACCTTCAGGGATGGGTCAGTGTTGACGGCTGAGCTCAGGGCACCGCCAGGACAAACCCAGTGGCGAGGGCTGTGCTGGGATGGAACTGGGGTTAATCACAAGCTCAAGGGTTAGAGAGGAAAATGGACCTGATGGGTTGATGGTTGGACTCGATGATCTTAGTGGACTTTTCCAACCTTAATGATTCTATGATTCTGTGAAAATGGCTTTTTCCCAAAGGGGATGTATGGCCAGGCTTAGAGGAACCACAGTTACGCACAGCGCAACCCTGACCCCATGGCAGCACTGGGCAATGGGTGCGCGGTGCGTTGGGTGCTGGACATGTTGGTTCCATCAGCCCTTCACTCGAGGGCAACAGGTGGGACCCCATCCTTCAGGGTTGGCCTTCATTTGGGGCTGAAAAATTACCGAAGAACCGACACTCTATCCCAACCTCAACACGATCCTCAGCTTTCAGGAAGCGAACCCCCATAGCGGGAGGCTCCACTCCGTGCCCCTACCTGCAGGGTGTTGACGGGGAAGGCGGGGATGGGCGGAAAATCCATGATCTGCAGGTCGTGCACGTGGCCGTTCATGACGACGGCGGGCAGGTAGACGCGGCGGGCCGTGGTGGGCACACAGACCTCGCTGAACTCGTTGTAGAGGAACTGCCGGACTATGGCACTCTTGCCCACGCCCTGGGCTCCCAGCACGGCGATCTTGAAGGTTGCCACCATACCGCCGGCCGCCGGCCGCTGCCCCAGTGCTGCTCCCGCGGAGCCGACGCTGCATATTCCCGTGCAGGGGGGCTCAGCCCCATTCAGGATGCATTTCCCCGCCGGGACAGCACATCACTGCGGGGCCAAGGAGAAGGCTATCATGTCCCAAACCCTGTGACAAAGGGACGTTTCTGATGGGGATGGCCACCGGCTGCTCTACGCCCCGAGCTGGGGAATCCGTCTCCCCGATTTGGACAGCTGGAATTGCCTTTTGCTGAAGGGGGGATTGCTCAGTGCCTGCAAGTGACAGCTTTAATGTTTAATTTCAGGCTTTGAGCGCTTCAGCAATTAGCTTGATGGAGGCTAATTTCCCAGCCAGCTGACAGGGCGAGCTGCGGGCACACGTGGCGGGGGCCCCAAGGCAATGGTTTGGGCACAGGAAGGCAGAAATGGGGTCAGAGGATTCCCAGCACCCACTGGCACTGAGGTCCCAACCAGCTGCAATGGGAATAGCAGCGGGACGGGTCAGCGGGACGGGTCCCACTGCATCTCCCATCCCTGGGAGCCGCTCCTGCTGTATCTCAATGCATGGATGCTTTTCCCAGTTGGTGATGCTCTCTCTGCGTTCCCTGAAAAACATCCCCAAGGCACAGGGCACGGTCCCCGGGCTGTCAGAGGCTCCAGCAGCCCCGTTTCACCCTGAGTGATGGTGATATTTGCCCCAGGGAGAACGTGGCCATGGCTGTCCCCATTGCAGGGACCCAGCAGGGCCTGATGCAGTCCAGGGACAGGGACACCCCACTGGGGCCTGGCTCTGACGGCAGAAAGCAGTGTCATGGCCAGGCCACCCCGTTGTCACCGTACCCCTTTCTCCACCCACTGGCAGGGGTGTGGAGTCCTGCAGCCCCATAGGGTGCCATGGGGACACGGGTTACCCCAAACTGCTGGGCAATGCCATGCCACCACCCTCAGCATCCCCCAAACCCCGTTCCCATCCCAGGTGGAGCCACGCATGGGGATCGCTGTCCTGTGGGCCCTAGGGATGAGGTTGCCCCCAAAGCACAAGTAGCTGCCCTGATGGCAGCAGCAGCATTTGGGGACACAAAAGGAAACTGAGGCCTGAACGGGGACATAGCAGGGACGGAACTCAGCAGGGTGAGACCCCCGGTGCGGGGCAGGCTGCAGGGCATCGTGACCTTGTGCCCCCCTCCCCAGTTTGCTGCCCGCGGGGCCTCATCGCACTCCCCGCGGCGATGCTCCGGGGCAACACCGCATCCCTCCCCCCCCCAGACCGCGGGGGTCGGGGCCGACCTGAGGAAGGAGCACAGCGCGGGGGTACCGAGGCGGGGGATGCGGGCACCGCGCAAATCCACTGCCTTGGGGGAAAAGGGAGGGAGAAGCGGCCGAGCTCTGCCGCTCAACTTCAGCCGGGTACCCCTTCGTTGAACTTCCCCCCCTTCCCACCAGCACCGCTCCCGTCCCCTCCCCATCCCCGCTCCCCTCCGTTACCTCGCAGCGGCGGTGCCCCGGGCCGGCGTTGTCCCGGCGGGCGGAGGAGCCATGCGGCGAACCCGGTGCGGGGCGGGCGGCCCCGCTGCAGTGAGTGCCCGGCACGGCCCCCGCCCGGCGAGGGGCTGCGGGGGAAGCGGGGCTGGAATGAGGAAGGGAGGGAGGGATGGAGGGAGGTAGAACCTCCTCTGGGGATGGAGCGCGGGGAGCGATGCGAGGAATGCCCGAGAGATGAGGAGGCGGCAGCGCCCGGAGATATGCGGGGAGGGTGGGAGGCAGCGCAGGGAGGCGATGCGGGGAATGCCCGGAGCGCGCTGCGGGGAGCCGGGAAGGACGCGGCTTCTCCCGGGGCTCTGGGAGGTGCTGATGGGAAAAGACCCACCCATGTGCCCCGGTGCGGCAGCGGCTCAGCCCTCCCCGCTCCCGTGTCCCCATCCCAAGCCGTAGGACCCCGGCTCGGCTCACCGGCTCCCGGACGCACCGCATCCCCCCGGGGTCGGACGTCTCCATCGCAGAGCTGTGGCTTTGGGACACCCCGCAACCAGCATTTATCGATGGCGAGGGAGAGGACGGCTGCATCTCCAGGGAGCGGGGTCGGAGCCGCACACCTCAAAGCGGAACCCGAACCTCTCTCCGCTCTCCACGGAGGGCTGGGACATCCCCACGGGTCTGGCTGTCACCCCGCAGGTCGGCAGAGCCCAAACACCGACTGTGCCGCGGCCAAGGCCCCCCCCCCCCCCAGCCCCGCTTATACCTCTGGTTGGGAAAGCATCAGATGGGGTGAGCTGGGTATAAATGGAAGCACTCGGCCATCGCAGCCCCCCTCCTTCCCGGGGAGAAAACGGGATACCGGCCACAGCCCTACAGCTGGGGACACAGGGACGGCCTTTGCGCTGAGCCCAGCGCATCCCGCATTGCCCCCAAGCTTTTTGGGATTCGGGGTTTGTTTCCCTGATGCTCACAGCCGGGGAAACACTCAGTGCTTATGCAGGCGCTGCCCACCTCCCACCCGCCACCCCCGGGCGTCGCTTCCCGGCACGGCAAAGAGCGCTGCTGAGAAGGGGCCGGGATCGCGGCTGCGATGAACTCGCCCGCACAATCCAGGCTTCAGCCTCGGGGATATTTTTAGCAGCTCCCTTTGCGGCGCTCTTCACTCGTGGTTTTATTTGTGAAATGTAATATACGGTGGCCTTTTGGGGGGGTTGGGAGGAGGGAAGTAGGGTTGGCCCTACATCTATCCCCGGCCTGGCTGCAGGGAGGGATGCAGACCCAAAATCAGCCATCAAAGGGCACGGTGGGATTGGGCTCATCTTCTCATAGGGCACCCACCCTATGGCCCTGCAGCTGCTCCAAGTCCAAAGCCACCCATGTCACCGCGATCCCAGTGCCACGCGCTAACAGGAGCAGTGAACAAACCCAGTTTGCAAGGATCAGCACGGGCAAGGGTTGGTGTGTCCCTGCTTACGGGGCATGAGCCTGCCTGCAAATCCAGAGCAAAAGAACCGACTTCTCCTTGGGGTGCCCCCAGCAGAGCCATGGGGAGGGATGAGCCCTTCCCTCTGCTGTAGGATGCAATGGGGATGGGGCAGCTCTGGACATCTCACAGCCACTTTGGGTCCTGTTGGACAAATGGAAACTGCTGACCCAGAGCTGGGCAGAGGAGAAGCACAGGGCAGCACTCCTCCTGCTCCTTGAGGTCGTTCCTGATCCTTCCAACCTGGCCAACCTGGGGCTGGCTGCCAGCACAGACGGTTGGCAACCCACTCTGCTCCAAGATAAAACCCTCTGCAAGATGCCAGCACGGGTTAAGAGCACTCCAATGCACCACTGATGCACGTGGGAAAAGCAGGTCAGGGCACACACAGCCCCTCGGAGAGGGTGAGATGGGGACATCCATCCTCCTCCCATCCTCCACTGGGCCACTGTCACACACAGTGGAAGATCAGCCCTGGGGATGCTTGGTCCACACTCTGTGCCAGCCCCAGAACAGCCTCAGAGATCTCTGCTGTAGGAAAGAAGTGGCTGGTACAGGAAAGGGACTCCTGGGGAGCACCCACAGCCCAATCCCACAAAGCCCAGCAGCCCCCACAGCCACAGAGCCACAGCACAGCCACAGCCTTGTGGAAATGAGTTTATTGACACGGACGCCAGGTAAAGCCTGAAGAGCAACACAGCTACATGGTGAGCAAAGCAACCGAGCGGCACAGCAGGAGAGGAGGGCTCAGAAACGCAGGGACACCCATGTGCCCGAGATGCTGGGAAGAAATGTGGCACAGGAAGGGGTGCTGAGCATCCCCTCCCCATATCAAAGCTCCTCCAGCTGCGTGGTGTAAGGCTGAGCTCATTCCTCACCCTCTGCTGTCTTCTCCCTGCCCCAGCACTCAGCGCTGCCGGTGCTTCGTTAATTGCTCTAATAATGATTTGTGCCGTGGCCCTGCAGGGCTTGGAGCAATCACCTCCCAGCACACACAGGCACTGTGTTACTCCAGCTCTGCCCCACTTTTTCCCCAACCAGAACACGGGGACAGAGCCTTCCAGGCCCCACCAGGTGCTCCTCTTCTCTGCACTGAGGCTCAGGGTGGGGGGAGATAAACGGGGCTTTCTGACCTCTTCCCAGCATCGGCCTCTTGGCTGCAGGCGATGACGGAGCCCTGATGAACCACCTTCACCATAAAACATTTACTGACCTTGAACGTGGCATCTAAATGACAACATGGGGGCTGCTATGCATCAGAGCTTTGCTTGCTGGGGAAGAGCTGGCATCAAAACATGCTGGGGAGGGCAGAGCTGCCCTGGTTAGAGGCTTTGTTGAATGAAGCAGGGCAAGCAATGGATGGAGCAAGGCATGCACAAGGCTTTGCATTCACTGCTGGGGCTGCAGCACTCAGTGGTTGCAACATGGTGAGTGCACAGCTGTGAATGGGAAAGGGAAGGGCGCCCAGCCCAAAGGGTGGGTAGGAGAAGAGGGGCCGGGGGCTGCAGTCAAGGACTGAGAAACCCTCAGTGCCTCGTGCCCTGGGGGCTGGTAACAGAAGAAATACTTTTGAGGTGTGCTCAGCTCAGCAAGCGCAAGCACTGCCAAGCCCAAATTGGTCCGTTGTGCCACCATGGGAGTGGGGAGAACCACTTGGCCCCACTGCAGAGCCTCAGGATCCTGCCAGGGCCCACGGACATCAGATGCCTGCAGCCCTGCTGGGACGTACAGCACTGGGTGCAGGGGCACAGCTCAAGGGTTGGGCGAAAGGCAGAGAGAGCAAGAGGAGGAGCTGCAGATGGTGAGGACACAGAGAACACAGCCCGTGCTTTTGCCCTAGTAGTGAGCTCTGTTGTCCTCCACTGTCCCATTAGCCATCTGTCCACAGCCCCTCCCCACGCGCGAGGAGTTTCCTTCCTTAATCGGCAGCTCAGAGGGCAGGGAGATGATGGATGGAGTTAAACATCACAGGGAGCAGAGCTGAGGCCACCAGCACAACCCAATAAAAACCCCTCGCTGCATTTAGAGCCCCTCAGCTCCACAGGTGCAGCACATGGCTCTGTTCCTCACAGTCAGCCCACAGCCAGCCCTGCAGGGTGCCCACCACTTCCACGGACTCACTTTCCCTTTAAAGCC